AAAAAAATTATTGGGTAATTCATCTAAAATTTTAATTAATTTGTTTACTTTAAATAAAATAAAGCTTCAATTAATTTATAACAATTTTTAAATAAAAAATGACTATCATTTAGGGATAGAGTGATAATCAATAAGTAAAATATAATTTAATTTAGGTAAATAGTTATTTTTTATATAAAATACAAGATCAGTATATAAATATATACAATATAAATATAAGCAACTTAAATCCATTACAAAATTCAAGGTTAACTTGAAAAACCCAAAAAATAGGGACATTTATACAAGTGTAACCCATATTTTTAAGGTAAAGTTTTTTCCATGTCTTTAACTAAGGATGAAAAAAAAATATATATTTATTTATTTATTTACATAGCCAATGAGGATAAATGTTTAGTTATTCGTCTAATTCATGGTGGTTCAGTGGTTACCTACTTGAATGCGTGGGTTAGAACATCATGTCATGAATTCTATATTTAGGACTTACTTTTTCTCCCTAAATCAATTCTCCTTGTTCAAAAAAAAAAAAAAAGTTTAGTTATTCAATTTATAACAATTGAATTTTAAATATTAATAAGTGTGATATAATTTTAATTTACTTGAGTGGACCAAATTTTCATTAAATTATTGTGGGCCCAACTTAATCTCCGTCATAAGAAAAGAAAAGAAAAGAAAAAAAAACATTCATTTTTAAGAGAACCGAGGACGTTTGTGTCCTCGACGACGTCGTTAGTTGGAGGGCCAATATGCTTCCATCCAGCAGCTTAGGGGCTTTTGTGCTTATAAATTAGTTTAGAGGCCTACTCGCAAAATTAGAGAAAGTTTAGGTGCCTACCATTAACAACGTGTTTCGCCGATTCTAGGAATTGATTTGGAAATGGAATACGCCGTGGGAGTTGGAAGCGTAAAATGGAAATCTGACAAACGAGATCCACGTGCTAATTTAACAGGAAGTATTAAAAAAATATAAAGACATAATTAATAATAAAAAATATATATCCAGAAATTTGTTAAAAATTTAAGATATTTTAA